TTACAAATCCTAAACAGAATCCCGAATCTACTTTTAAATGGAAATATTACACAAATACCTTACTTTAAAGCATGAATCCTTTTTCGGGCACGTTTTGTTCGGCTAAGGAAAACAATCATGCATCAAATGTTTAGGTTTAAAGTTTAAAAGAGATTTACACTTAATATTTGTTGGATTGAATTAATTATACAGGGTACTAATTACGTATACTCCCTTTTAATTAAATAAGATTAGAATTAAAGAATAATGATTCCTTTATTAATTAAATAAGGTTAGAATTAAAAAATAATTAAGCAATTCAGTCTTCCCACAAATCTGGAATGCCAATTAAACTTACTGCACATCTAAACGTATTTATCTACAGCTTTCTCAAAGTGTAGCAATTTAGACCATTTAACATTTTGTTTTCTTTTTATATATCAAGACCATACATATAAAATATATCATAAGCTCGTTATTGCCTCTTGAGCAAAGAACGTCTATGTAAAGAAGGAAAGGCTTCATAAATGTAATGTAAACCAGTTTGTCTTCTACCCCGGTAGAAAGAAGAGGAAAATTCGCCAAGGGATTTGGTGACGAAACCTGTTGGCGAGAATTTCCCCTCTCTGTGACGTACCAGACCTGGCCGACATCTTCCTCCTTCTCGACGTGTAGAGGAGATTGAGGAACACGAGTTAAGATGAATAAGAAAATTAGGTGAAGTTTCACTTTCACCTGGCTGTTGAATTTGCATTATCCATATCGCAGTTTGATGTCTGATTTTATATCCGTCAATATGGAGAGAAAAAATGGAATCACACAGTTTTAAACTCTTGATAAACGTGACCGTCGAACCTGTTCGAACTTCGACATCAGCTTCGAGCTTTGGCGCTTTTTGGCGACAGATATTTCACGCATGCGCAGCTGTTTCCCTTTTCGTTCGAAGGGAACCACTCTCCTGCTGCTGCGAAGTTTTCCTTCTTAACAATACATATTCTTTGTCTTGAGCACATTTTCAAAATACAGAGTTTATATATCAAGTCGTCGTATATTCGAGTCAATAAGTAAGTTATTTTTGGTAGATTATTTAGAAAATAAATAACTTGTAGTATGTCATTTAGCTCAGTTAAATTCTAAACTGTAAATTTTAGCAGACAACTTAGTGAGGCATGTATATCTTTTGTACCCGTTATTCACTTATTTCTGTTCACACACCATTTATTATAACGATTTGTTTATGGTGTGGAATTGGAATACACTTACAATGAAGTATCGTGCACGAACCAACAAAATCATAATTTACCGAGCTAACAGCTTAACGCGTCCAAATTTGAAATGAATGAGGGAGTATTAAAAAAATACGAACAATCTCTTTGAGAATAACTAGAGAAATCTCTTTTAATTTTTTTGAGAATACACTGACTACCAATAAGTATTTGGACACCTATGCAAATGACGATATCTGCGGTCCTAAGGTATTTCACGGACTCCGCCGGTATATATCGTGCAGGAAACAGCATCGGCTTTAGTCGCGTACAAGATGCCTCGCAGTTCGGAGCTCTCTGATTTCGAGAAAGATATAATTATAGGGTATCAAAAATGTGGCCGATCCTTAAGGGACATATCTAGCGATCTGAAGTACCCAAAATCGACAGTGGCCTATGCGATTAAGAAGTGGAAGGTGAGCGGTGATTGTCGGAATGTGCCCCGAGTCGGCAGACCAACGAAACTGGGAGATAGAGATCGATGAGTGCCGTCCAGAGAAATTCGGAAGAACCGCACCCAACCGAGGCCCTCATCCGCGAGGAGTTTCAACAGCATCCGGAGTATTGTTTCATGAATACCCACCGTAAGGAAGGATGCGGTTTTCAGGGTCATGTGCTGCCATAGCCTTTGATCACAAAGTCCAACTGCGCTGCTCGGGAATGTGGTGCAAGCACATCGAAATTTGACCTAGATCAGGAAAAAAGTTCTTTCGAGGACCAATCAAGGTTCACCTTTATCATTCGGATGGCAGGGTCTGGGTTGGCGTCTACCTGGATAAGTCTCCTGCCAGAATGCATGGTGCCAACAGTCAAGTTCGGCGGAGGTGAAATATGGCTGGGGGTGTTCTCCTGGTATGGGCGGGGACCCCTGGCCCCCATTCATGGTAAGCTCAACTCCGATGCCTACGCATATTTGGATGACAATGTGCTTCTACGTTGTGGTAGTTGTACGTGTGGTCCTTGTCTTTCCAAGCCGAGTGGAAGAAAATACCACTAGCTAATACAAGAATTGTGGAAGTATGGCAGGAGGTCCATGCTGTAATTATATCTCGTGGAGGCTCTACCAACTACTGATTTTGAATAAAGTTAGTTTTCCTTTTCTATCACAGATGTCCAAATACTTATTGGTAGTCAGTGTAATTTAAAGATTGCTACTATCAGACATTTAGAGGTATACTTAATAATCCAAACAATACTTTAATAAATGATATTAAATTTTGAATAGTGGACTATATTTTGGAGATTACAACGAAAATTAATATTAAAAAAGCTGCACCATATTCATCTTGATTGACGAGAAAAAATCGGGATTATTATGCTACATTAAGAAAGACGATTGCTGTATTGGCTTCATAACAAAGAAACTTACTTTTTTCATTGAAGTAACTTACTCAGTGATACTCAACTCGTTTCAGCTGCATAGAGAAAATTTAGCATCCAATCCTTGAAATGCTAGCTTCTAAAGTGCTTGAGACATAATTATTTTTTTCCAATGGCAGATTGTGAACGGTTACAGTGTAACACAGTCCATTAATCTATACAAGGCCAGATGTGGTGTTCTCTTTATTATGGAGGCACCTAATAGGTGGGCCACCATCGCTTCTTATGAAGGGACCGACAGTTACAACCATACCTTTTCCAGGATTCGAACCCAGGCCCTTCGGTATCACAGTCAGGCTTCCCTAACCACTATACCGTTTGGGCGGCAAGACATAGTTATTACCATATAATCCTCGAAATGATTGCATAATGTGTAAACTGATGTTTAAGATTAACATTTACAGGAAAGGTAAAAAGAAAGTTGAAAAAGCATTTCGTTCTGAGAAAAAGGTTTTACATATGGGTTTTAAGACACAGACCAGTGTTGCCAGAACTTTAGCTAAAGTAGAAAAAAAAAAAAAAAAAAAAAGTAGCAAAAAGTAGCATCTGACGTCAGAGACACGTCATTTTGAGACTTCATTTTTATTTCTGACGTCATCACAAATTCACTCCTCTTGCGTTCCGTAGCATGAGGCTGTAATTTGACGTTTGGTGGTTTTATTATATATATACATAAGTTAATTTATTTATATCCTATATTAGGTGCTTCATCTCGTTTAGATTGTTAATACTGTATCGTTATTTTATTTTTAATTGGATGTTTATTCTTTCTTGCTTTACTTTAATTCTTATTGATATAAATTTTTTCCCATTCTGGTTTCTGAACGTATTTCAGTTTTTCAGTTTCTGATTGCTAAAATAATCTACGATCTTTCACTGTTAAAATTTTGTTGTTTAGAAATCTGAATTTAATCTTTAAGTCTCTAAACCTTCAATAAATCTTTAAAAAATTTGTCGATATATATTTTCTTTTCGTTTTAATAAGTTACACGCAAGCATAGATGTTTAGAACATAAAATATTTGTAGATTTATTTAATAGCAGATAATGTGATGATTTATTAACCACAATTACTTTGAGCAATTCAGGTGAAGTGGCTTTCTTTATAAATGTTTTGCATTTTGCCATGTGTAAACCTGAATTCGAAGGTAATGTATTTTGATAGCGTTTCTTTCACACAAATTTCGCTCAAATGATCAGTATGGGTGTAATGCAAACAACTTACACAAAGATTTAATTCAGTTTGTTTACCCTGTTCACGTTTCCAAATATACTTCTATGTTTTCTGAAAAAAGATCTGTTGAGAATTTTGCTTATGCTTTTATAAACGATTGCACTGCATTAAATCAGTTGTATATGCCCTCATTTTACATTTATACAGCTTGCCATAAGTTCGTTACTTAATTGGTTTCATTCTTTTTTGCCAATTCTCAAAGATGGGTATTTTAAGGAAAGCATTTTGAAAAGTGGTTCTAAACTTTTTCACGTTATTCACAACTCACACTTATGATATGATACAATGTGCACATAATCAAAATGCTAAACAAAACAATCAGCCAAACACATGATTAAACCAATGACTACTGCTGAAATTGAGTGTGAATACAGATGTTCAAACAATTGAGAATAGACCTTACTTTTAGTTGATAAATCTAACTTTCGATATAAATAACACATTATCAAGAAACGGAAACATGTTTTAATTTTTACACATAACAATTGATTTAATTGAAAGTGAGAAAAAAGAACAATCGAAGAAAAAAATCCTAAAATGAAAAAATTCAGAAACATTTTATATAAACATATTCAGATTTTTGCCTCAAAAAATAAGAATATACCAATATGCTTAACTACCACTATATTTTTTCTACGTAGTTTCTATTCTAATCTAATGTTGCATAATTTTATCTTGAACCTTTTCACTTTTGTAATGAAGTTTGTTATATGAACATAAAGCCGTACTTTTAAACAGAAAATGGCTTCTCGAAGAGAAACCAGTATTGAGGTAAGGAAATTCTTACTAAGATTATATAAAAAAGGAGGAAATTCCTATCGTGAAAATAACCAAAATTGTTGACAGAAATCACACGAGTGTCCAGAAAACCACTGGAAAATTTAAAAGTGATGGATTTATTGAAAATAAAAATGGAAGAGGAAGGAAAAGTATTTTGAGTGATGTCGGCAAAAGGTAAATTTTGAGAGATGTCAAGACTCATCCTAAAGTAAGTGCAGTCAAATTTGCTGCAGAAACTTCTCAAATCATTGACAGATGTGTAAGGGATGAAACTATACTAAATGTATTTAGACAAGCTGAATATAAATAGATAGAAACCAATTAAGACACAATAACACGCCGAATAAATACTAATTCAGAAGGCAAACAACAAAAATCAGCGGATTTACAAAATTATCACAGGACGAGTTTGATGGTTTTACGGAAACACCATCCTCAGCTGCAAAACCGCAAATGAACAAGATAGGAAAATAATGATTAGAAAGCCTGGACAAGAAAAGCAAGTGGCGCCACTTTGGTGAAACCAGAAATAAAATTATTTCTTTAAAGGCCGAAGGCAAATTTGGATTGGAATTAGGATCGTTAACTAGAACAGAAGATTTTAGAATGTGAAGCCTATAGGAAAATTCAGTTCTCCAATGGAAGATGTTTTTGAATAATTTTGGCAGCAGAAAAATTGAAAGTGTGATTTTGGACCAACAATGTTGAGAAACAGAAGACTTCTGTGTTTCCTTTTTCTAACATATGCCTCATGTTCCTTGACGCGAAATATTAAGGCTCTCTTAGTTTGGTTCAATGTAAAGAAACCCACTGGCAAGGAATCCTATAAAACCAGGAATTCATATCCGGAATGGGGTCCTTGAGTATGGAGTCGGAATTTTATTGATGGGAGAATAAAACAACACGGAAGTTAAATTTCTGCAAAATATGTGCAACTTTATAGCTAATGATGGAAAGAAGGGAATGACAACAGAATTTTTTAATCTCCTAAAACAAGAGTGTGCCTTTTAGTGTGTTGAGATGAGAATTTTTTAGCTGCTTGATTAATAATGTTGGGTGAAAAGCCCCCGTCAATGCTATGCTTTTAAATAATTAGTTCTTCATCAAGGGCTAGTTGGAGGAGCAAACTTGAAGAGCACGGAAAACATAGGAATAAAATGAAGCAAACTGTTAGTCGGCTGACATGATTTAAAGTGTGGTGGAAGGCAAACCGATGAAGGTTTATGGTAAACCGTAGTACTGAAGTTGGATGTGTTACGTGTGACCAGAATGTCGAGAAATGGAAGAGAATTGCAAGTCTCAAGTTCAAAAGTGAACTGAATAGCAGGATCAATAGAATTCATTGATGAAAGAACTTTATTTAAATCATCTTTATTACCTTCAAACAGGGTAAAAGTATCGTCTACGTAGCGGAACCATGCCGGGAAGTTTAAAGTTTCAAACAATTTTGATTCATAATAATGCATGTAGATATCAGCCAGGATGGGACTGAGGGGGCTTCCCGTGGCTAATCCCTCAGTTTGCTTGTAATATTTATTTTCGGAAACAAAATGTGTTTGCTTCAAACAGAGTTCAGTGAGAGAAATTAGCTCATCAATTTAGATGCAAGAGAAATGAAATTCGCGAAGTTTGGTTTTTAGACATCTTAATGCACCCTGCACTGGGACATTGGTAAATAATGATTTTACATCAAAAGAAACCATGAGTAAATTACTAGGAGAAATGTTTTTAACCTTTTTACAAACTCTATTGAATTTTTATCTTGTAAATGTATTGTCTAATAGAGTGGAAAATCTAGAAACTAAATATTTAGCTAATGGCTCCGAGGCAGTGCCTAAATTTGATACAATAGGGCGGAAAGGAATACCACTTAGATGCCTAATCATTTCTTTCTGTGAATCTGAAACTTTACTGAACTTGAAAGCTTTTTTGATAGGAGCCAAAATCTTTGGAATCGAGGGTTTACAGGTCTGTGAGAAGTTAAATTATATTTTAGATTTCTCTCTTGTTCTTCTGAAAGACTAACATTAGAAATATTAACTATTGGCTTGATGTTTACAATGGGGAGATTTTTTGAACTACTTGAACTGGAAGACTGTAAAAGAAGTTTTTCGAATTTAACTGCAAGGGTGTTTTTATGACTTTTAAGTGCATTTTTCGTTCTAGACCAAGACTTTTGTTCAAGGGCAGTGAATTTTGGATATGATTTAGCGAGTTCCAGATGAAGTTTATAGAGTTCATGTTCAATTTTGGACAATTGTTGACGTGTATCCCTTATTTTGTAAATTCAATTCCTCAATTTTGTAAATATAACGCTGATTTTTGTTGTTTGACTTCTGAATTAGATAGAAACTATTCATCATCTTGCAAAATCTAAAAAAGGCGTTTGGAGTTTGGAAAAACTCATCAATTGAAGATACGAAAGTTATATTCACTAATGAAAGTAAATTCAACATTTTCGAGAGTGAAACTTTCTTACTGCATTTAGAAAGCCCAACATCCCTTTGGATACAAAAAATTATGTAATACATGGTGGTGGCTCCTTCATGTTTTGGAGTTGTGTGACTTCAACTGGGGTAGGAAATTTAGTTTTTATAGATGACAGTATGAATTATGTGATTTATTTGGATATATTCCAAAATAATCTAAACGAAAGTGTTTAAAAGCTATGTTTAGATTGACACTTCATATACCAGCACGGGAATAACCCCAAACACACAGCACATAACGTCAAAATGTTGTGTCATTTTCATTGTAAACAACAATAACGCACACTACCACAGTTCCTAGACATCAAAGTCATAGAAAATCTATGGGCCACACTAAAATACGACGTTTAGGAGAGATCATAAAAGCGATAGAAGAAGCCTTTGTTTGACAATACCTTTGTTTGTGAGATATCACAAAAATCTCATTGGTGTATTCTTAATTTTTCGAGGCAAAAATGTGCATATGTTTATTTAAAATGATTCTGAAATTTTTCATTTCAGGATATTTTCGTTGATTGTTCTTTATTTTTACTTTAAATTTAATTATTTGCTCTGTGCAAAATATCAACGTATTTGCTCTTCTTGGTAATGTTTTATTTATATTGAAAGTTAGATTTATCACATAAAAGATGTATTCTCAATTGTTTGAGCCACTGTGTACTACAGTCTCAAGATAGCCAGTTGTCAGCTTTTATTTAAGCCTAAATAAATTATTATAATTTATTATTAATTACCGTTATATGCATTATTATAACATTATTAATTTTACAGTATATTCAAAATTTTTCAAGTAGCGAAAAGTAGCAGAAACAAATGTTGTAGTAGCCAAAAATTAACCAAATCACATAGATATGAATTTTAGTTGTATACGCTTGTCAAAAGTAGCAAGTTTGCAAATAAACATAGAACAATGTGAAAACTTTAAATAAGTGACAGTCGAAATAACATCATCACGTGCAAAGCAAGTAAAATACGTTTATATTGTAAAAAGAACGTTTATATTATAAAAAGAATGGGTCGAAACGATTTCGCTTTTTCTTTGTCGGTATTTTCTTATCTTTATCTATCTTCAGACACATTGTGTAAAAATGTTTTTTAATTGTAAAATTATTATAATAAGAAATATCAAAACTGCTAAAATTTTTGGCCACCTCCTGCTCACAGTTTAAGAAACTCTGCCATAGACCAAAACTGTCTGAACATATAGTGTAGAGTTATTATTAAAATGTTAAAAATAGTTAGAAAATGGCTTTAATATTGTCTCTAACTGGAGTTAATTATCTCTTATTTAGACACAGAAAAGATGTTCGGTATCAAAAGATCATTTATAGATTGTTTTTAGATATATTTTGCAATGCTCAGAGGACTGACGGAAATTGTTATGTTAATGGATAGGTATGTACGAAACAGCTCTCATGTATTTTTTATTTATAGGTTGTTGGTAATAAATGCGATGTTCCTGAAGAGCGGCGGCAGGTGAAAAAAGAGGAAGTAAATGAGTGGGTATTCTGTGAACTTCCGAAAATTCGAGTGAAAATTCTCGAGTGCTCCGCCAAAGAAAATACAAATATACGAGAAATATTTCGCTCGTTTCTCCAGCTTGCAAAAATACCTCTTCCCAGCGACACTCATGCGCTCAGAAGAAGGTCCAGTGCTCACGTGACAATGGGACGCTCACTTAAGTATGAGTTTCAAAATAATTTAATAATTTACAATATAATATTTTTGGAACTGCTTTAAATTGTTTGTAGGAAAATCTGTATTGTGCTATTAATTAGAGTCACTCATTTTCCCTCTTTAGGACGCTGAGAATGATAATATTTTCCATCTCTTAAAGCTAATTTTTTCGCAAATACTGTCTATTTTTTAATAACATGGGCCACTTGTGAAAGTGTATTAACTTCGTAAATTAGTTTTACTATTATACAGTTACAAAAGCTTGTTTTATTCTAATTTTGCCTTGTGCTGAAAAAGTAAACTTGTTAACACATGCATCTGTATAATAGAATTCTTAAATAATCCGTAAGTTTATAATTGTTTACTAAGTTTAATACCTATCAGTTTTATTTCAAGTGAAATTATATACGTGGAACTGTAAGTAAAATAAGCTGGCAATTGTTAATTAACGACGATGATGGTAAATTGCAGTAAAAAAACATTCTGTGATTAATTTCAAATCTAAAAGTCTACAGATAACATTATGGAAATGAAAATTCTATTCTATCCCTTGGATGCTGAATAAATTCATTATCATGCAGTTTGCTGTTTGCTTATTATTTCTTTATTTTGCATGATTTGTCGAAACTTAAATACCGAATGCAACACAGCCGTAATTTCGTTTAAAATTTGCAGTTACATTTACTTTTCAGATTTAAAAGGAAAATGGTTTAAAAATATCTTTGGTAAAACGTTATTTGACATTTATATCTCAGTGTCTAATGTTTTAAATTAACTGCATGAATTAGTAACTTATTTAAAGTAAATGAAATAAATTCTGATAATAATTATTAGATAGTTTTATTACTCTGCTTTATGTTCAAAGATGAAAACTGTACTTACAGTAATGTTAAATTTCAATTTTTAGTCGCGATATAACTATGCATTTGGACTGAAGATAAATGACTGAAGATATTTGAATTTTTTTGAAATAATGCAATATCATGCTTTAATGTAAAATTACGTTAAATGGCCAGGGTAGTAAAGTCTAAGAAATTATTTCTTAGTAAATGGAATTATTGGAACTGTTTCCAGGGTCGCATTTCTTTTACATCTTCCGGGAAAGAAATATTTTATCACTCAATATTTTTGCAATTTAATATATGAAAAAGAGAGAGAGGAGCGTGCAGCAGTAATTAATTATTATAGCTTTCCAAATGAACAAAATGCCTACTCTCAGTTATACAAACATTGGACATTGAACATTTTGCGTTGAAAAGTAAGGTAGAATCAATTGAAACATAAAATATGTATTATATTTATTAAGTAATTATTAGAAATCATGCGCATTTCAAAAAAGAAAGTTTGAATATTACAAGCAGCATTATCGTCTATATTTTAAAAGACATTTTAGAAGAAATATTAAGAAATAAATTCACATTTCCCTGCTTGGCATGATAAAATGTAAAACGTAGAAATACGAATTTTTATTTGGTATAATGATCTTGATTCCTATCTTAGCAGTAGCTTTAATTTCGATAGAATAGTTCGTCTGCTTACCACTAATAGTTAAACATAACTTGTGTATTTGTTAACATCAGTGTAATGCTGTGCTGGATATTCTCTCAAGAAATCTTTGATATTAAACATTGATCAAAGAATCTCGGTTCCCCTTTGATTTATCTTACATGATTTCTTAATTCCATTAAAATGTAGACTCCTTAAATTAAAAAACACTGTAAAATTTAAAATATATATCCATCATTTAGGCATAATTAATTTTCAATTTGTAACATTCCTTTGCGTGCTCCCTTTTATTTCCTTGAAATAATTACCTCAAAATATTTCTTGTTTTCTCAAGCATTTACCAAATTTCACAGCACTTATTTATATTTACTACTTATTATTTATTTATATATTCATTTGCTTAATTATGTATGTAATACGTATTTACTAAAATGTGGATGCTCTTCAAGTTATACGGACATGGCTTCTCGTCTATTGCCTATTTTAATATTTGCAAGCCAGTCCTATCCTATGACATCTTCCTTTAAAGTCTTTAAAAACCTATGTAAACATGTAGAATCCATATGTATGAAGTCATTTTAATTTAAGACCTTTTTGTTTAAATCTTCAAAATATAAACTCATGTTATTCGCGAAGTTGTGTAAATTATTCAGGCCAAAGAGGTACTTACAGGGGTTGGACAAAAATATGGAAACACCTTTAAAAAACATGTTTCTTTGCTTAATATGGTGTAGGAAACCCGTTGGCATCCAAAACAGCTTGCAGTCTTCTCGGAATGGATAAATACAGTTCCTGTATGTTTGTTTGCCAAGGGAATATTATACCATTCTTCCTGCAAAACGGTGGCAAGTTCAGATAACGATGTGGGCGGTGGATAACGAGAACGCACTTTCCGTTCCAATGTAGACCACAAAGGTTCAATAATATTCAGGTCTGGTGACTGTGGTGGGCATGGGAGATGGGACAACTCATCCTCGTGCTCAGAAAACCAGTCCTGGACAATGTGAGCTGTGTGAACAGGGGCTTTGTCGTCTTGAAAGACACCATCACCATCGGGGAACAAAGTTTGTACCATGGGATGAACTTGATCGGCCAAAATGTTCACATAAGTCTTGGCAGTCATGTGCCCTGACACAGTTACCATGGGGCTAGCAGAGAACCACGATATGGCTGCCCAAACCATAACAGAACCCCCGCCATGTTTCACTCTTGGCAACAAGCAGTCTGTATTATAGGCTTGAGATGGCTTTCTCCAGACGTAAACTCGGCCAAAAGTGGGAAACAATGTGAAAGAAGACTCGTCAGACCATATTACTCGCTTCCACTGCTCTATAGTACAGGCTTTATGGCTTAAACACCACCTTTTCCTGTTAGGCATTAGCATCACTGATGAACGGCTTCTCAATTGCAGCACGACCAGCAATTCCCTGTTTATGAAGCTCCCTTCTAATTGTTTTGGTACTCACAGGGTTCGGTAACACAACATTCATTTCAGCACTAACTTTTGCAGCTGTTTTCTTCTTATTTTTCGTCACAATTGCTCTTAATGATCGTCTGTCACAATCACACACTTTCGTCCGCGCTGTGATTTAGCAGATGATGTTTTTCCGCTTTTCAAATATGCGAAATAAATCTTCGATACAGTACCTTTTGAAACACTAAACACCTCGGCTACCTTAGTTACGGAAGCTCCTACCATACGTGCTCCAACAATTTGCCCACGTTCGAAGTCTGTTAACTCTGACATAATGCAATGACAACCTCACATAACAGTACTCCGACAACAACTGAACTGTTTAGCACATTTACGAAGTTGTATAGGTGGCGTCAGTAGTCAAAAACGCCAGCGCCACTTACATATTTCATTAAAATCAATCTTTCTTTTCAAACATGCATTTCACAAGGTGTTTCCATATTTTTGTCCATCCACTGTATATCTTTCTGTCCATGCCAGAAAGGATCTTAAACTTATACACCAAACAGTTCTTAGTTAAGTCATGCTAAGTAACGGAATTTTCAAAACTTGAATTTAGCAATCAGATGGCATTAACACAGCTTCTGCAGAAGAAATGCGGGAAGTGATTTCAACGGAAATCTAAGACACCGTTGTTTGAATTTCAGTGCAAACGGAATGAAAGCATTTTCACGGTCACAACAAAGTTCCAAATCGCTTGCCATTAAAGAGTTCTTAATGCTCATTGCACAACAATACTCGCCAGATCTCTCCTACTTTACATCTGGCTGTTTTCTCTTATCCAATTGGGTCTATGACAAAGTTTTCAGACAACCAAGCTATTCAAAATGACGCGTCGACTCAACAGAGGAGTTTTTCAAAACAATTGTGTTTTCCGGAGACTTCCAGAAATAGCAGGGGCGTTGTAATAAGAAGTGCTTTGGTGAATCTGTGGACAAGCATTTTCCAGAAACCTTTCGAACACAGGTGCAGTTAACATTATGATTTGAAAGTTAGGATTTAAGCCAAGAATTCAAACTGAAATTTCTTGGTTCTTTTTAGTTGCAGACACTGGAGTAGTAGAACTGAAAATTTAGAATATTTTCTTGTAAAATATATTTTCGGTATTTTGCGTATAAAATTAAATATTTTATGCAGTTTTTGTTTAAATGCCTGACTGTACCATATAGCAAGAATATTGTTTTAATAATTTAGGTTTAACAGCAGTCTGAGTCCTCAGCGTGAACAACAAGCAGAGAGCAGTCCGGAGTCTCAGCAGCAGCAGTCCACTTCACAGAAGTCAAGCAAGCCACGTAGCAGGAGTCTTATTCGTCGAACAAGCAAGAAAACTAACAAACTGAAAGATCCAGCAGCAGGTCCAGGATGCAGCGCAGATGGTGATTGCCATGTCTCTTGAATTTCTTACAGATGGGCTTTGCCTGGAATGTTTTACTGTCAGTGGTATTGAACTTGTGAATGGACAATAAAAAAGAATAAAATTCACTTCTGCATATATACAGCATTGACATAAACAACTTTCAACTAAAAAATAAACTGTTACTTTCAAATTTGAAATGCGGAGCTGAACATAGTTTTTCTGTTTATTCATATGAATTTTTAGTTAAATAGTTTTTTCCTAATTTTAAATATGGTGTTTTGTGTGTGATTTCATGTATCTCGGAGCATTTGAGAGACGGCGCTGCTCTGTGATATTGCTTATACAGTTCGAATGAATGTTGTGAATGTGGTTAACGTGTTACCATATTAATGGTTGAAATTTTATAATATTAATCTTTATGATTAATGAATGTCCCTGGTTTTTATTCTGAATAAAGTTTATGTAAATTTCTTTCATCTGTATTATAAAATGGAAAGTATTTTGCAAATCAAGGTACTTGTAGCTGAAGCAGTAACATTTAGAAACTAAAGATAAGGTTTTATAAGCGACTAATTTTTCTCCTTTCATCTTACTTTTTAAAGCAAGATTTTGAAAATTATAAAGTACATGAAAAAATTTAAATTTCTTTCAAGTAAATTTGATCAGACGATAAGTAAAGAAATTTTCAGTATACTAAATAAATGTAAGCATGTGCATGTGAAGTATTTGAAAATATGCATGTTTAAGTGTATATCAATTTTACCTCGAAATTTGATTGTGTTTGATCATGAGATCAATAATTTTTATTTAGAAGTTTCACTTTTGATATATGCATTTGCCTTCAGAGTGGTAAAGTCGTTGTAGAAAAGCACACATTTCTCTAAAGGGCACTCAATAATTCAACTATTCAGCACTCAATAATTTAATTAAAAAAAGACAATGAACTTAATTATTACTCTCGAATTTGTATAACATTTTAGAAAGGCTTAGGCTGACTAAGAGTGAACATTCTTTAAGCCTGGAGAAAAGTTAATTCAATAAGCAAATTAAAGTTACAGCGATGGTAAAAGTTGTAGCTTAATATCGGTTTTATGTAATTTTTTACGAGGAATATTCGCTATGAAACATTAGGATAAGTAGTATTTAACTAAGATTTTGAAAGTTCTGTTACAATATTTTTTATAAATAATCTAAATAACATTATTCATTTTAGTTATCTGTTGAAAAAACAACGCTTTTCTTAAAATGCTTCAGTTAAGCTGTTACCTTAAAATATGATTTAGTCTAATGATATCGCATAAATAAGTTTCACTAAAAAATATTTTGACACAGAAAACGCTTTATTTGAATCTTTGTCAAATTGTAAGCTAAAATTAAAGAACCATTTTTAATGTATTGCTTTTATCTGAAGCTTTTATTACGCAACGATTAGAGCATTAAAATACTCTAGTCGTTTTCATTATGTAATTAGGACTATTAATCTTGTGTATAAAGAAACACTAATACCATTTAAATATAATTATTGATCAGATACTTTAACTGGTTCTTGCAAAGAAGTAGATCCCAAACTTTCAGAGTTACTAGTCGTCACAATTATGTTTTCAGAAAACAAATTCTCATTTAAAATAATATGCTTGACAGTTGCTAAGGAACAACAATCTTTTTCGTTGTAAATAATGATAGACATTGTTTAAAGAAATAAAACCTGGTGGATATTCAAACAAAAGGTGTTCTGTAATATCGCTATAAGGCAAAATGTTACCGATTTTCATAAAATAGGAATATAAGAAGAAAGAAGTAAAAGAAAGAACTTCCTACAGCTACTTTCTACAATTACAAAATATTTTCATTCAGTTTGAAATGAAGACAAATATGAATCCTTCAGTATGGAAGTTGACTTGCTCGAACACTGATGCGTATTTGACATCTGTTATGCATGCTGGCCGCTAAACTATTGAGGAGAGCTTCAGGAATTCCCTTTCATTCCTCTTTCACTGTGATTTTGAATTTCTGCATTGTTCGATAAGACTTCTGTCATTGAGCAATACGTCTATCTGATGCATCGCAGGCGTCGTGTGTGGGATTTAGATACAGGGTATATACAGATCATGTCATACATTCAAAATACTTCCTTGTTTCAAAATACTTCCTTGAGTGCCGGTCAGTTCAGCAGTAACATGTGGCGGATATTGGCCTCCATGCACAGAAAGTATAGACCAACTACTTTCTGTTCATGGAGAACCCATGAAACATTCCAACTAAGTCAAAGAAATCGCAGAAGTTCAACGATTAGAGATGTGGACAGGAGTTCTGTCATTACGCATAATACTTACTCACGCAACTACTCCTCGGGAATAATTATAAGTTTTCTGAACATTAAGATGCTGATAACGGATTTTCCTCTCTCTCCATACCAACAGTTACTGAGAATCAGTATCAGTCGTGAAGCGGAAATCTTCACGATTCTAAACCATGATTCTAATCCCAATACGTCTATCAGTCTATTCTAATCCCAATACGTTGTTTTACATTAAAATAAGTTGTTCTGACATGGTGTACTCGTAACGCAATGCATGTAACAGCTTCCATGCCACATAAGCCAAGATTATGCAATCGCCGATACATGATTCTCACAGATATCTGAACGGCAGCAGCTTTGAAAATGTCTGCAGCTACTTGGCCAGGAGTAGCATTTCTGTTTCTTTCCGCCACTAGGGCGACATATTTACCCTCGTTAGGTATGGTAGTAGGGCAAAGGCTCTAGATGGTTGTCACTGCATTTCCGCATTCGGAATCCTTCTTTAATTGCGAAATAACATTTCTTCGAGACGCCTATTACTGTGGAAACTTGAATGACTCCTTGTTTCGAATTTCCTTGTTTCGAGAAGACCAACTGCTCAGCTACGTTCGTTCTCACTCAAAGATATTTTACAGAGTTTCTGAAATCAATACGTGACCCTAAATATGAAAATATGCAGTAATATTTGCAGAAGCTAACAACATTTTTATCTCGCAAACGATGCTGCTTGCAATTACGAATACGGGAACAATTTGGATAACACGAGTGCACTATCTTTTATGCAGATGAAAGGTAGTGCACTCGTGCCTTTATATGCATTTTTCTGCGATTAAGTGGTTTCAGAGAAAGTAAATTTGCGTGCATCAGTTGTTTCTCAGCAATTGTCAAGCAGTGTATTAAACATATATTTAAAGCACCGTTTCTTAAACTGGAGCTCGCAAAGCGAAATGTTGGGGTCAGAAAAATTTAAATCTGATATACGAATTTCGGGAAATTTAATAAAGGGCATTAATGAGATTAATACCCTGCCATATAAAGCCGGAAATAGGTTTGTAGGGCTATGAAGTGCCTGCAATGTAAAACTCCCGTTTTGACAAAAATCTTTGATTAAATTCTGAATCAGAACTAGAATGAATTTCGAAGAATTTCTTAAATGGCATTGAATATTCTGACTTTCAGCGTCACGTAAAGTGAAGCCACGTTTTCAGCTTTAAAGCTCATTCAATCCAAATGCTGTTCAATGCTGAAAAACAATGTAGATATTTTGTCCAGTTGTTTCGAATATTACATTAAGATTTAATTTGTTATACTGCAAAAACTCTCACTCTAAAATCACATCCTTTTCATTATAACGTGATTTCGTTAATTTTGTATGATCACGAAAAGCTCTCGATGATAAAAAGGGGTCATGACTGAAAAAATTTAAGAAACGCTGATTTTAAGCATCTAGAAATGAAGGTTTTAAGCAACTATTATAAATGACGAAAATTTAAAACAAATTACAAATGTTTTAAAAGAAATCAATAAAAAGTAATCTTCTATGGAATATTGTACGAGAAAAAAAAAAAAACCGAAGATTAAAGTATTGCATGACAACAGATAAACAATCGAAATAAAGCTATTCTTGTTCATCTGATTTAAGAAATCATATTCTTATCTGCATCATAAATATTTAAGGCAATGATTAAATCACTTAATGCTTACGAATATGTATTCAGTTCAATAATTTTTTAATCAGAAAATGTTTCTTCGTCAACAAAATCTAGGCTTCCTGCATGTTTTACAGCTCCATAAAGAGAAAAAATGTTTCTCTTTTGTGTAATTTCATAACGTCTGTGATTATTCTTAAATATTGCATATTTGAAACTGTAGAGATTTTAAAAAGTAGCCTCACCAAATTTCAAAACAGCTACCAAGTATTTACTTTTTATAATGTATAATAATATGATAAGTATTGCTTTATTGAAAAAAATGTAAATTGATATTCAGTATTTAATGCCAAATAAATGTGTTGATAGAAATGTATATTAAGAATTTAAATTGAAGTTGTGATACTGTTTTAGATGTAATTGCGAAAGAATTTTGTAGCTAACTTTAGATTTAGTTAGAATGTAGAAGAATGTAGCTGTTTATCTGTTGTGTCTTCTATTATTTGTGCATCTCCCAAATCTTAGCGTAGGCCGCATAGAAATTGTTTATGTGGAAAAACAAGGTAAAATAACCAGAAATTGTCATTTACGTTTTGGTATTCTTAATAAGTTTAGAATTTATTATTCACCATATTAACATTTCAGTATAATGGCAACTGATAGACTTTCCCAACACGATATGAAGTTTCAGAACTTTCGTTATATAATTCCGAACTTCAACCTAAATATACGATGTCCTAAAAATTGTATACAAAATTAGAAAGATCATAAAAACGTTGTTTATTAATATATGGTTTATTTTCTAAATATAAAGGTATCTGCAAAAAGTTATGTTTTGTCGATATATTTTTTTAAATATAGCTAACGCTCTCCAAACATTATCTCATGGAATCTCAATCTTCTGTGCATTTTATGTAGTAACACTTCCAAAACTGCAATCTTTGATGGGGATTTTCTTCATTTAGAGAATGAATAACTCTTGATATGTAAATGTTCAATGACAAATGAGATGGGCACGCGATTTTTAAATAATCTGTCTCAGATTTACTTTAGCTCTGGCTGCCTGTTTCCTTTTCTCCGTTTTTGTCCATGGTCTTCTGGAACACTTGTATGGGCATTCTAAACAGTTCTACTTGCTTCAATCTTTTCTTTAATTCGAGTGATTATAAGTCGCGTAGTTACATAGCTTTAAAAATCTCTCCTAATTTTTTTTTAACTCTATTTCCAAATTTTCAAATTTCCGTTCACATTTTAGAATAAAAATTGTTGGAAGTTTAACTCCACCAATTATTTAAAATAGGTCAAACTAAAGTAAGCAAATTATGAGTTCGTAAAACATATAGACACTTTGAGGAGACCCTCTATATTTTTTGCAAGGTTTGATGACTTTAGAACTTGAATAAAATCTTAGTAATTATTATTAAAAGGGAAATAGATACTGAAGAAAGTAAAAAATTAATTTTTATAGGTTAAAAATGTTTAAATTAATAATTTTAAAACTAATAAGATTAATAAAAGTAGTTATTATGTATATATTCAAAACCCATTACATACTAAATTCACGCACCGAGAAACGCTTTTAAAAGTTTAAAAAAGTTTTAACAAAAATGGTCCATTTCTGTCCGACGACGTATTCCAGATTTATGTAAACATCAAGTTCGGGGCGGAAGTGGGCATGTCTATCAATGATGTAGGGGGTGAGTGCAGTAGCCCGGTTAGATTTAAATGGTTCTTCCATTTCACGCTCTTTCTAGTGCTGCGCAACAGAATATTTTTGTCTGCGCTTTATACATTTTAAGCTGATGTACTGTGAAATTTTAAAATTATAGAATTAAATGAAAATGCATAGAAACATCAGATCGTGACATTTCGAAAAAAACCATTAAAAGAACTGTAATAGTAAACTATTTGTTTTAATAAAATTCATCATCAGTTTATAAATTATTTAATAGATAATATCAATTTAATAATAATATTTAATAGACAGCAATTAAATTGATAATAATTTAGATAATGCATCTTAGTTAATTTTTAATATTTTCAAACATTGAATGAAAAACTTTATCTGTTAAATATTCCTTAATAAATTACATTTATTAATATAATTAAATGATCTATAAATAAAATAAAGCAATTTAATAAGAAGGGGTTGCATAAAAATTATTTTAGTTTTAATTAGACATGCCATACCTTTTCCCCCCTTTACATTTTTGGCTACGTAACTGGAATGGTCAGTTTTCCTAATTTTGATTCTTCATCACAAGCTTTAATCACGTTGTACACTAATTTCTTAAAATCGCTGCGGAAAGCTAAAATCGCTAGAGCTTTCTGGAACACTAGAACTCATCGTAAAAATGAAGATTTGAAAGTAAAAGAAGGTCAGTAACAGCGATGTTCAACGATTATATGAAAAAGCACTAAATGACCCCGACATCCAAGAGGAAAAAATACTTGCGCTTTTCACTCACACTCTGTGATACTTCTTAAACAATTTGAAGTAAACTCCAATGATGGAACACAGCAATAACTTTTACTTTACACACACACACACACACACACACAACAAAAAAAAAAAAAAAAAAAAAAAAAAAAAAAGAGAAGAAAAGGTATAAAAACTTATTTAAAAAAAAATAATTACATGCTTCGTGCGAGAAAATGCATACGGCTCTCGAGCCTGCGTTTCAGTTTTGCCAGTAACCTGTACATTATTTATTATTCATCTATTTCAAATGCACGAGAGATTAATAACAATATTAAAGCTGCTACAACCGCTACGACCTCCGAGAGGAAAAAATACCCCCGCTTTTCACCCACACCCCTTCAACTAAACCATGGAGGTAAGAAAGAAGGAGTGGCCAACCGGCACTAGAAGTGAAGCACTGCTTCGAAGCTTCGGTGTTCAGATAGGGTGTTTTTTTGCAAGGAGGTTTAACCTCCTTGGTTTTTTGTTTATTCAGAAGCTCGCTTGACAGTGTTCTGATAGTATTTCGACACACGGCACAGTTCCATACAATCGAAAAAAGGGACACTTTCGCATGAAAGAAACATTCATAGTGTGATGGATAATAGCAATTTGTATAGTTTAGTAATATTTACGCAAAAATCACATCTTGGTTATTTTTCGATAACTAACAACAGCGATTTTAATTATGAATTTGTTTTATAAAATTCTAAGCTGTTAAACTACAAAAATATAGATTTTAACAAAAATGTTATGCTTAAAGAATGAAAAATACCTTACGGTACCTTTAAAATTGTATATGTCTTTCGCTACCCTTGATAGAATATTCGCTACTTTTATTTTATGTTCCAAACGCCAAAATGTTTTAAATAAAATAAATTTTTTTCACACCCACATATTATTGTAACATGTACCTTTTAAAATTTTTAGAGAGAGAGGCTTTACTGCTGCTCATTTTTAAACTCATCGTTTTAATTTTATATATCTGAAAAATAATCACTTTGGCTTACACGTTTTACTTATTTGGGTTAATTAAAATTACCATCAAATGCTGCAATCATCATTAAAATATATTCATATATATTAAAATATATTCATATATATTTTTTATGTAAAACTTTCGCGTGTATGCTAAATTAGTGTAAATTACTTTACTCGAAAAATATAGTGAATGCACAGAAATTAAAGATTTGCACATGTCGGAAATGAAAAATGGGAAATATGTATGGGCATTTATGCATGTGCTTGCAAAATCATGTATCTACCTTTAACAAAATACATAAATATTCATTAAATTATTTATAAATGTGTTTGAAATGAAGAATTTATTCATTTATAAACAACTGTGAAAGTTACTGTGAAGAAATCTAATTATTAAATGTATCTAATTTTTAATGATTGTAAATGTTATCTAAATATATAATAACCTTAATATTGAATTGTAAACATAAATTGAAATTCCTGTTGACAAATACGTTATAAAACTGTTTAAGCAAGAATTGCTCGTACTGGAAAGCAATCTGTTAAAAGGTATTGTAAGGCAAATGCTATGAGATGCGCACTTAAGAAAGTAATAAAGGGTTTTGGAATGTGTATTGTTGAAATTAAGGGTAAAAAAAATCTGATAAGTATAATTAAAAGAATTATTCCCCTTGCACGTTATAATAACTCAGTTACAAGTTTTAAATAATACTTAAAAAAAAAAAAACTTATTTTATTACCTTTCTGAAATGTTCAGAGAAAGTGAAGTACTATATAAAGGATTTCGCTAATTTCTAATAATTCTCTAATTTAAAATGAACCGAATAGAGCATTAATTATAAATTGACTTATATTTTTCGATTTAAAAATGCCTCAGAAGCCAAAAAATCATGTCATATTTAAGAAAGTATTTTAGGAAGAAGCTCTATAAATAGAAAAGAAATAATGCATAATTTTAATATTAATAATACAATAAACTTTGATCTTAATTTTTGTACCTTAACCGAATAAAATCGAATTACCTTAAATTTTTTTTCTAATGTAATTAACGAAAACTTGTGAAAATATTTCATTCAAATTAAACCATTCTGAGAAAAACTGTCTGTGAAAAGTATAGCATTTAATTCCGTTCAGAATGAAATGATGTCTAAAAATATGTTGTTTTCATATAATTAGGATTCTGAAGTGTTGTAGAAAAAGAAAATATGTACATTTATATGTATATTTACGACGTAATTACAAAATATTTACATCCGATAGCGTCAAAATTGAACTCAATGGTAAATGACCGAATGTTTTAGTCACCACGTAGGGATCGCCAGTGCTTCAGAGCAGGGTACGGGAGAAACTGTTTAGGGCTACTTCATCTTACTTCTTACCTCCATGAACTAAACCGTGGCCTTCGAGATAACAAATATATAAGATAACTAATCTCGAAGGCAACAACTAAACTGACCCATCTTGGCTCTCAGCCAAACTGCTCTCGCTAGTGTAGTTAGACAGTAAGAATTCTAATTCACCTTTCTTTGCATTAAATTTAATAAAAATAAAACTTACAGGAAACTCTCAAACTAAAGGATTACTTTAAAACTAATTTTTAAGTAATATGAGAACTATTTACTATTACTATTATTATTTTAAACGTTAATACTTTAACTATTGCTGGAATTACTATCGTGCTAAAAAGGGATCTTTCGTATTCATTCACACTTAATGAATCCATCTTATTCACAAAATCAGAATTTGAGTTTTTTAAATACCGCTTTTTATTTTTTCTTTACATTGTTCCTAATATATAAGACGTAAATTGAAATGGCCCACCAGCGACTGAGCGGAAAAATTACTGAAAACTGGTAGTTCCGACTTGGGTTCGATTCTATTCTCATGGGCTGGCAACATGAACGTTTTCGTGTCTTTCCTATATGTACTGTATATTCAAGCCAGTTTTCCTCAGAAAGTCCTCCATAAAGGCATCTTTTCCTTTAGGCATGTAACCATTGTGGTGTGCTTTACCGCAATCAATTAATTAAAAACATAAAACAGTAATGAGATTTCTAATAATTAAAAATTTGTGATAAAATTCGCTTAAATGGGAGCTCAGTATTGCGATTTCAGTAAACGAATGGAAACTAATTTAGCGAACGAAATATAAAATTAAATTAATATAAAATTAATTAAACGAAATATAAAAGGAAAATTTTAAAAGAAAAAAGAATTATTCTAAGCAATTAATTTAACTAGGATTGCGCAAAGTAATTAATGTTAACTAGGAAATAATTTTTATGTAAAAGTTTGCATTTATTTAAAAGGATTTCTTTCTCAAATCCCTTTATCAAGTTTTTGGAAAGTGATACTACTCCGTTTCTACATTATTGGGA